ACCCCAGCCACCCTACAGCTCAGGTGACCGATGTCTCTTTATGGTCAGTTTGCTGTTACTGTGCTGTATGGCGGATGCAGAATGAGACCAAGGCCTTGGTCTTGTTGGGCAAGCATTCTACCACTGGGCCACACCATGAGTACTCTAGAATCCCCCAGTGAGGGGCTGGGGTGTGGCTCAGTGGTAGAACCCCTGCCTAGAATCCCCCAGTGAGGGGCTGGGGTGTGGCTCAGTGGTAGAGCCACTGCCTAGAATCCCTTAGGGAGGTGCTGGGGGGAGGGACCAGAGGCATGGCTTACCATTAGAGTGCTTGTCTAACATATTCCAGGTCTCACCTTCCATCACCAGTACTGAAAACAGGGGTGGGGGTTATATAAGATTTAGTGGCCCTTGTGAAGTAAGCTGGACCGCTTGTCAAGGCCGTATGGGGACAGGGTGTAGCTGGAGGGCCTGGCAGAGAGACAGGCTCGTGGCTAGTTGGGTAATCCCAGACTCCTTGCTCTCTGCAGATCCTGGCAGCGCTGCCCGTGGACTGGCGGGGCACTCACCTGCTTGCCTGCTCTTGCCTGCGTGTGGTCTTCATCCCCCTCTTCATCCTGTGTGTGTACCCCAGCGGCATGCCTGCTCTCCGCCACCCCGCCTGGCCCTGTGTCTTCTCGCTGCTGATGGGCATTAGCAATGGCTACTTTGGCAGTGTGCCCATGATCCTGGCAGCTGGTAAAGTGAGCCCCAAGCAGCGGGAGCTGGCAGGTAAGGCCCGCTGGCTGGAGGGACACTCTGGGAGTCCTCTAGACAGCCTACTGCCTCTCTAGCAAAGGAACTGAGGCCTGAGAAACTGAGCAAGGAGAAGCCAGCCGAGGACAGCCAGGGAGTGAGAAAATATATTGGTCCCAAGGGTTAAATGACAAGGGAGTTGTAGATGTTAAGGACATCTGTAAGTAATTTCTTCACTCACTCATTCACTCATTCATTCATTCACTTAGTGTACTGCTAGTTGTGTGTGGGGAGGTGATGCTGCCCACGTTTGTAGGATTATAGTTCCGAGACAGAGATGGCCAATAAACAGAGGGATAACAGATGTTATGTGTTTCACAGTGATAAGTCCTAGGGGCTATTAGTCTGAGAAGTTAGGGCCAATGCAAGGACGGGGGTGGGGGTGGGGCATGATGTAAAGAAAACAACCCTGCAAGACTTTACTGAGAAGATGGCTTTTGAGCAAAATCCTGGAGGAAGAAATGAGGGAGACGGGTACAGGAAGCTGCAAGGAACGACATCCAAGCAGAAGGAGCCATATGTGCAGAAGTCCTGAGACCTGGCTTAGTGGTAGAGCCCCTGCCTAGAATCCCCCAGTGAGGGGCTGGGGCGTGGCTCAGTGGTAGAGCCCCTGCCTAGAATCCCCCAGTGAGGGGCTGGG